GGGGATAGAAGCTATGTGGAAACGGACAAAAGAGTACCAACCTTGATCGTTCCATGCTCATTTCTCCAGTCCTCAAGCTCCTTAGGGTCAATTCCAGCAGGGTTAGTAATAGCGCAATCCCATTCTTGTACTCCGATCACGATGCCTCCGGCTCTAAAAAACGAATAACTTAAAATGACCGGAAAGTTTGTCCGTGACACACGGTCCTTTAGGGAGTCTCTGGTTGGTGATTTCTACGAAAAATTTGCAAGAAAAACCTTTTTAAACTCCGACGTTTTTTTTTGGAAAAGACTGCAGGTCAAATAGTCCCCGGAACTTTTTCTATCCCTAGAACTACTGCATCCCTCCCCTCCCCCTCCCTCGGTAACATTTCTTTGACCCCAAGCAATGAGTCCATATTTTCATTACCTGTGCAAGTATCGCATTGTGTGCAAGCCGACATTACCGAAGCCTTGGATGATGATCTTCTTTCCGGCAATACCAGTTGTGAGTCCGACCTGTAACCCAAAGCATTAACTTCTACCCGAAGGGCAGCAAATATCTAAGCTCCTGAATTAAGCTTACCATGTCCATGTACTCCTTCTCCTTCATGAACACCTCGAGTCCCTTCCAGACTCCACGGCCGGTGGCGGAAACTCGTCCGTGGATACCTCCGGCAACGATCGGTTTTCCGGTGATACATGCGGCTGCATCTCTGTCCAAGTGTCCAACAGTCTGTGAGTAGGTGTCAGCAATCCAGCCCATTTCACGTTCTCCAGTTCCCATGTCAGGAGCTGGCACATCGACTCCGGGTCCGAGGAATCCCTGGAATTGTAAATGTGAGATACTTTGTCGTTTGGGTGTAGAAGGAAGGATTTTGACTCTATGAAACAATGCGCATCGATTTTCCCCAAAAGCAAAATTTGCAAATTCTTAACTATCAAAATGATAGAAATCTTATTCGATTCACTTTTCCTGACCTGCGAAAGACCACACAGCATTGTTTGCACGACTATCACATTATCCTTTG